ATTGGACACGAAGAAGTGTTGAATTAAATTGGTCAGATGATCTTTGTGAACGCCAATGGCTTGCCTTAACCTAATCACGTACAACATCAGGGGCCTGAACACCCCATACAAACGGCATGCTCTCCTTCGGGAGTTACGTAAACTGAAGAGTGCTTTCATACAAGAAACTCACCTGGCGCACCATACCCATGTACGCTCCACTAAATTTGAAGTGACATGACAACCTTGGCTCAAGTTTAAGGAAACACCAATTTACATGCAGAATGTATATTAATACCATCTCCAAATGAAACATCTAGACTAGACAATACCCAGAGGTAAAATTACAACCGTAACGTGTTTATCCCCTAGTACCTCACTTGTCCACTGAACCCATATACCTGGGAGATATTTTTTTTAAATACCTTAAATAGCCTGCTTTTTTATATCATAAATGTATTATATATTTATGTCATATAAATTCATATTTATAATTTGCTTTAGTGCCCGTTCACATACTGTGCTGCACCGGATCAACACAGGCCACTGCGAGGACACATAGAAAACAATTGTTTTCTGCATGTCCTATGCACGCTACAATGCAGTGGGTGCATGCTGCATTTTATTGCAGTGCACTGGATCCCACCACAGGTTGACTGGGGGACTAAATAGCGTGTACACTCTGGTTTTATGATATTATGAGTTGATGGCATCCTTTATTCTAACCAGGGATAGAATTCTTACTTTGCCAGATCTTCCAAATCTTCACACAAGACAACAAGGCAGGTAAATCTTGAGTCATTCTTGGGCATTTGAAAGTTAAAGTGTCCTTTTAACCCCTTCACTTAAAATCATATATACATGAAGCACTGTATGCTGATATGAAATTGTCTTACATTCACTATTTAAACATTTTTGTTTTTATGTACAATTACAATTTTTCCACTTCCTGGTTGGGTGAGCTACTGGTGATTATAGTCTTGGCCTCACAGATGCATCCTGAGTCTACATTACCAGTGCCTTCCTGCGAAATCTCATCTGTAAATTGCGAAAGCTCGCAAGAACTTGAGATGATGTTGCATCTTCCAGGAGGCAGACCCAGAGTTCCAGAAAGTAAAGGGAGATGGATTCCTCTGCCCTTGGTGAAAATGGGCACCGTGAAGCCGCTATTCCAACCGGGATTTTCTAACCCAGTAGCCTTCAGGTCGTGGCTCTCAGGCCCCCTGAGTTTAATTAAAGATTTCTGTTTGGAAACTGCTGTTATACTGTTCTCAACGCTCCAAGCGAATCACCGCCTAACCCCTCAGCACATTTTCCAATACCTACAGATCAATCACTTTTTGCAGACTAGATTGGGCTCTCTACGACCTCTCCCCCCTTACCGCTTTTGAGAGACTACTGCATTATGGACCACGTGGTTCAGGTACCACATCAGCCCTATACAACCTACTGCTAGACAAATTACACAACTCCCCTCCCCCCTACGCCTCCAGATGGGAACAAGACCTGGGATGTTCCATATCCTCTGACACCTGGACCCAGATATGGATGACCACTGCCCGAAGTTCAATGAATGTCCAAGCGGTTGAGGCCAACTACAAAATGCTCTTTAGGTGGTACTTGGTCCCGCTCCGGATCTCCAAAGCTGTCCCATCATACTCCCCGAACTGTTTCAGGGGTTGCCGGGTGGAGGGATCGGTCATGTCTTAAAGTAAGGAGATTCTGGCACAGAGTCTATCAACTTATATACACGGTTACTGGCAAGACGTTTCGTAATGACCCATTGGAAGCTCTGTTACATAAAAAACCCTTGGTGTGTACTGTACGTCAACACCGGTTGAACACATTTATATTCACAGAGGCCAAGCGGGTCATTGCGAAAGCTTGGAAGTCCCCTGACATACCCTTTGTTGAAGTCAAACGTAGAGTGTCACGTGTGATGTTTTTTGAGAAGCTCACTGCGATCCAAAAGGGACGCTCTGGTGTCATTCAGGAGACTATGGGAGCCATGGATTGAGTCGTACCTCCCTCTGTCCTTCAATGCAGATTCCTTGACTGTATGAGTGTCAATAGCTGGGAGTGGGGGATTGGCTGTCACCGCTCCTCTATTCCTATACTTTGCCTTACCTCCTTTTGCCTCTCTCTCCCACCTCCCCCTTCCCATCCCTCCCTACCCCTATTGGCTCCCCCTCTTGTCCCGTGCCTCGTTGTAACAAAATAAAAGGAACCGTAAATAATGAATATTGCTCAGTAACAATGGTTCTTTTCTCTATAAGTTTGCTAAATAGCATCAAATACCTGGTGACCCCAACTTTTCCCTTGAGATTGATAACACAGCTATCAAACCCTCCCCCCATGCCAAAGTCCTCGGTGTCATCTTTGACTCAGACCTTGCCTTTCTTTCCCACATCCAATCACTATCCAAATCCTGCTGCCTTCACATTTGTATTGTCTCCAAAATACGCCCCCCTCCCCACGAATAAAACCGCAAAATTACTAATTCACTCACTTGTTATCTCTCGTCTTGACTATTGCAACTCCCACCTCATTGACCTACCTCTACACAGGTTATCCCCCCTTCAATCTAACATGAATGCTGCTGCTAGACTCATTCAGCTAACCAACCGCTCAGTGGCTGCAACCACCCTCTGCCAATCCCTCCACTGGCTTCCAATACCCCGAAGGATAAAATTCTAAATATTAACGACTTGCAAAGCCATCCACAACTCTGCCCCCGGCTATATCTCAAACCTTGTCTCAAAGTATCACCCTAACCGTTACCTCCGCTCTTCCAAAGACCTACGACTTTCCAGCGCCCTCGTCAACTCCTCCCATGCTCACCTCCAGGACTTCTCTGGAGTCTCTTCCATCCTCTGGAACTCTGTACCCCAACCTGTCCGGCTATCTCCCACTCTGACTGCCTTTAGGCGAACCCTTAAGACTCATCTCTTCAGGGAAGCCTATCCCACCTCAACCTAACCACTGAACAAACAATTCATCCCCAAACAGCTACCTCCTCATGTATCACTTGTCCCTACCTTTTAGATTGTAAGACAGGGCCCTCCTTACCATCTTGTCTTGAATTGTATTGTGATTGTAATGTCTTATTATTGTATTGTATATTGTAAATCGCTGCGCAAACTGTTGGCGCTATATAAATCCTGTATAATAATAATACAAGTTGTACTGTGTTTAGGGAGTACTGGGTATATCTTTCATTTAAACAGATACATTTACGCTGTGGTCAAACATAAATCTTTTGCACATAAACTCACTTCAGGGTCTCAGCCTGCATGTGTTGAGTAGCTTTTATTTCGGTATTGGAATCTTCTATACCTCTTTGCCTGTCAGCTAAAATCTTTACCAAATTTTCCAAATGGCCCTAAATGTGAGCCTGTGAATTTGCAAACTCGGGCTTATTCATAGTGAACAGATGATACCACTGTCCACTAGACACCACAATGTTATTTTTTTTTTTTTACACTGCTTCAGCATTTTAGGGGTGATTCATAAAATGCAGAGCCTATGATGTTCCGCTGAGTGTTCTCTACACTATGCTGCAGAAAACATTCTGTGATTGGAGGAGAGGGCAGTCACATGACTTTGACTGGTTGACCTCCTCCAGGCAGTTTGTTTTATCATTCATTGTAATGAACGGGACTTTGGTTCTGATTGCATTTCGAAGCAAGCAGAGTATATTGCACATCTGTAAAGTATATTGTTGTACTGTGTACATTTTCATTCAAAGCAGCAGTAGGTTGCCATACCGCTACTTTATTAATGGGGTATTTAGTGTTAATTGGGTTTGAGCACCTTCCTTCAACTGTGTTTTACTCTTAAAGCTGTCTATACACTGCTTGATTTCGAACAGTTTGTTGCTTTCTCGGGACTTGCCCATATCCCGGCAGGGGGATTCACCTATCCCTGCTGTTAAGAATGGATGGGGAAACTGACTAATGTATGGCCAGCTTTAGATATATGCAGGAAATAAATGAATTAATGTAAATCTTACCAATGTTAATGTATCACAAACCTTGCTATGGTGTAGTGTGTTACATATGTAAATTGTTTGGCTTGATTAGCTTGATTAGCTTGATTCCTCTTATCTCTTATCTCACTGCAAGTCCTACAGACAGGTATCCTATTAAAAGCATTAGGTTGTCTCCAGCCTCCAATAATGTGAAACACTAACAATGCTCTGTGACATAGGCAGTTCTGTATTCTGGGAGAGCAAGTATTTGTGTTCCTCAAAATAGTGCAAATGTGTAATGCTGACATGAGAAAGCTGTGGATGAGGAAGGGGGTATTGCACTTGTTAGAATCATATGACTGATCACAGAGAATTACTGGGGAATCATGATGTGTATGGTTGCATGGAGTTATATATGTTTTGGGATGCACCAATACCGAGTATCTGGGCGAGTACTCGTACTCGTACTCACCCAAATGCTCCCGATGCCTATCCCGATACCGGAACTTCCGGTATCAGGAAGCTGGGCGGCGAGTCATGACATGCTGCCTGTCTTCCTGATTGTCCAGGAAGCAGGATCCATGCTCCCTCGTCAATAGGAAGCATAGAGCTGGCTTCCCGGCCTATCAGGAAGCCAGGGGGCAGGTAATGACTCAGCCCCTTGCTTCCTGATTGCCCCATGCTTCCTCATCAGCTAGTGACAAAGGAGCATGGAGCCAATCAGGAAGCCAAGCATGTAATGACTTGCCGCCCGGCTTCCTGATTGGTCGTCATAGTAAATATATATATATATGTGTGTGTGTATGTATGTATGTATGTATGTATGTATGTATGTATGTACACACGCACGCGCACACACAAAGAGACCTTAGATGAAAAATTAAGTCTGGCATAGCTTTAGTGTATTAGCATTTAGCTAACTGATTTTGTCATGTTAATTGCTCTTCAAGTACGGAAATTATTGTTATGAAGATAAATGTAGTTATGTAAAATGATACATTATATTATTTCTGTTTTAAAAGAGTTCTTCTAATATATGACAATCTTTCAGATGGAGCCATTGTTAATGAGCTGTACAGTTTGCTTCGAGATCCGGATCCAATAGTTTTGGTGAACTGCCTGCGGGCTCTAGAAGAAATTCTAAAGACAGAAAGTGGAGTTGCCATTAACAAGCCTATAGCTCATCATCTTCTCAAAAGGTTAAGTCTCCTAATCATCTGTATACTTTCTTGTTTGCTGTAATTTTATTGCCAGCTTTAGTACACTCTTTTCTGTACAGCAAGGACAGCCCAATCTCCAGTAGATGTGTTCACCCATAGTGATGAAAGAGATATGGGTAAAGCTGGCAAGTGCTGAGCACCCGTGTTATATGGTGAATAACAGGAAGCTATTCAGTGGCCCATATACACAAAGATGCTGCATTTGAACTACCTAACCTTTTACACTGGCTAAATATCAGGTCTAATCTGCACCTTAGGGCATTTTAGATCCGGCTGCCTATAGACTAACACTGGGCTTCCGATCAGATCAGCCTGAAAAACTGACAGTGCCCGTGTGAAAGGGGCCTTACTGCTTTGGATATTACGTGTTGCAAATACAGAACATGACCAGTTTATTTTTTTTATCAGTGTGATAATTTCATCCCTAGTTCATCTGTTCTCATAAAAATCGTTATTTTTTGGAATTTGACATTGTTACATCTTAGCCCATTTTTCTTCTGTTGTAATAATTTGCATTCAGTATTTATTTTATTTTTTTTAAACTGTTTTGATATTTTTTAGGATGGCTGATTTGGATCATTGGGGACAGAGTGAGGTCCTGACATTCCTCCTTCGATACAAACCACGCAGTGAAGAAGAGATTTTTGATATTCTGAACATACTAGATGGTTATCTGAAGAGCACTCATATCAGTGTAGTCATGGGAGCAACCAAACTCTTCTTGATTTTAGTAAAGGATTTTCCTCATGTGCAGGCAGACATTCTTGTGCGGCTGAAAGGTCCACTGCTAGCCGCTTGTACTTCTGAAAGCAGAGAGATGTGTTTTGCTGCTTTGTGCCATGTCCGAGAGATTCTCCGCAGTTTGCCAGGGCATTTTAGCAGCCATTACAAAAAATTCTTCTTCTCATACAATGACCCTCACTATATTAAGAACCAGAAGATTGACATCCTTTGTGAACTAGTTAATGATGAAATTGTACACAATATACTTGAAGAACTCCGAATATGCTGCACAGATGTATCAATACAGCTTGCCCACACTGCCATCTTTGCAATCGGTAATTATAAATTATTATTAATATTACTATTATGATTGAAAACATTGTTCAGGGTTTAGTAATATGTATTGGATGGTGAAATCTTTTAACGGAACCTTTTCTGCACGTTGCACCAAAGTTCTTTGCATTCCAGAAACCAGTGGGGTCATTAAAACACAGCATATTCTGGTCCTGAACTTGCTAAATGGATACATACCATCAGCTTTTTAGGAGGATTAGACCTGCAATTCTTTTGCCCAAACAACTAATTCCACTGATCTTCTCAAGAATCTTTTTTCCTGTTGGAAACTTTAAATTGCTGAAAATACTTGTTTTAGGTAAATAAGGGCTTGTACATTTGTTTGCATAAGAATTGCAGAACTGCTTAATGTCAGATGCACTTCTACACAAATCCTTATAGTGCAAATGCAACTTTTGTGCAGTTACACTTATTTTGTAGTCTCCACAGCACTCTTTTCAGTCTTATAGTTATCAATCCATTGAAATAATGGCAGTGTAGCCTTATTGGTGCCACACAGCTGCTTGCCAAAATATCCTGTGCATCTGCTCTGCAATCTTATTGTTTCCTTTGTAAGGCTATTGAGTACAAGCTTATACTCTAGACTAAATCTCCATTGGATTGAATGCGATTGCAGAACTTATAGGTGGGTAAGCTGGAAGATTGAAAAACCGCCTGGGAGGTACAGGTGAGGCCATGCAGCTGTTATCTCAATGAATCAGACAGGTGACTATAAAACTGAACGGAAGGGGGACTGGGCGCAAGGAAGACATCAACATAAGGCTTGCTCACATGGCTTTCGGCTTTTATAAGAGCAGTGTGCACAGAAAGCTTTTGAAAAGCATTTGGGAAGCGTTCAGCAAGCTTTGAGCAGCTTTGTTGAAGGCTTGAAAGGATTCTTCAGTTTTGGTTTGTGAATGTTAAAACACAGATCTTAACCTCCCAGGAGGTATGATTATCTAAGTATTTTTTCTTCTATTTTCTACTTTTGAATTTCTCGCTTTTGGTACGGAAAATTTACCCCCGAGCCACACTCGGGATTACCGCCAGGAAGGATAATGGGAGTTGTGACTGTCACAAGAAACAAGCTGCTTGGCCAAACTAGAACTAAAGGGTGCTTTTAAAGGGCTTCAAGAAAGCTTGTTGAAAGCTCTGCAAATGCTCTGTAAAAGCTTGTAACTGGTGCAGTTACATTTAATACTAGCCTTATGTCAGGGATCTGGAACAAGGGGCATCTTAAAACATTTAATGTGAAAATGGCTTAATGTAGCTTAATGTGTAAAAAAAAAAAAAGTACCTAAACCTCAGACAATTCCCTTGAAACTTTGCACAACCTAAGTTTTCAACTTCCCAAACCCACTCTGGAAGTTTCATGTTTTTTGGTTTCCCACAAAGCAAGTGAGGGACATTAAGCTTGTTTTTCAGTGAGCTTAATGTGGCTTAATGTACAAAAAAAGAACTTGGATGTTAACCAATTTCCCCCAAGACTATCTAGGCAAACATATTCTGAAAATTTTAGGACGATTTCAGTTCTTTATACATTAGGCTGTTCACATTAAGGGGGTTATTTACAAAAGCTAGTCGAAGGATCAGCCGTAGCTCTGGCTAATCCTTTGGCCAGCTTCAGTTGCGGAGCCCTTCGGTTCAGTGGAACTGAAGGGCTGCTGTACGGGCTATTCACTAAAGCCCGTACAGCTCCCGAAGGTGGCAGAGCCAAAGGCATATGCTTCGGCTTGACTGAGCCAAAAAGTGACAGCCAAAGGCCGAACACCTCGCAAATGACAGCTGGACGGAACCAGCCGTGATCTCACGGCTGGCTCCGTCCAGTTGTAATGACAGATCAGCGCCCCCAAATGAATGGGGGACGCTGAACTGTCATTAAAACAATGACAACTGGGCAGAGCCGGCCGGCTCAACCCAGGTGTTATTCGGGACCTGCTAGAAGACTCTAGCAGGTCCCGTTCAATAGGAAACAGTTGGGCGGAGACTCTTGCAGCCCTGTCCAATTGTTTTTATTGAGTTTTTTTTATCTTTATTTTTGTTTTTATTTAATTTACATTTTTAAATATTTTTTTTCTACTTTTTTCATTGAATTGCTATTCTGCTCGGTACCATGGAGGTATTCACTCACTGCCGTTCGGCCCAATAGGGGCGAAGGGCAGCGAGGGAGCTGTCGGAGCGTCGGCTCAGCCGATCGAGATGTTGGATTGGCTGAGTTGAAGTCCTTCTGCACTTCGGCTCAGCCAAACATGCAGCCGAAGTACTACAGGTGATTTCAGCCGATGTACAGCTGAAATCAGCCGTACAAGCCTGAAGTGAATAGTGTTCGGCTAACTTCACTTCGGGTGGGTTATTCACTCGGTTGCCTTTGGCAGCTTTGTGAATAACCCTGTATATGTTTGTATGCAAAAAGTTAGTCTTATATTGTGTGAAGTTTGTGGGAAATTGGTTAACATCTTAAGTTCTTTTTTGTACACTAAGATCCCAGAAAAACAAGCTTAATGTCACTCATTTGCCTTGTGGGAAACCATAAAACTTCCAGGATAGGTTTGGGAATTTGAAAACTTAGGTTGTGCAAAGTTTCAAGGGAATTGAGTGAGGTTTAGGCACTTTTATTACACATTAAGCTATATTAAGCCATTTTCACATTAAAAGAGAACTATGGTCCAACATTATTTGGCCATAGTTCTCTTTAGAGTCACAGGAGGACATTTACTAATGTCCTCCAGTGACCCAAAACTCAGCATATAGCTTTTATATACTGACAGCGCAGAGCCGTGCAGCAGCCAGGAAAGGTTCCGACACTATTTACGGGATCCACTTCGCTATCTGATTTACAGCTGGCTCTGCCTTTCTAGAGCCTGTCGTGCCCACCTCCTCCCCTGTCTGTCCCCCCATTCAGCGCTGGAGAAACAGAGAGGGGGGGGGGGGGAGGACACCCACCCTTCCGGGGATTGGGAACTGAGTGATCAGCGCTATGTTGTCGCTCAGTTCTCAATCTATAGAGCCGACATGTGGCCGCTTCAGTTTCACGCATCGGCTCTAATTATGGGGAGGAGTGTATTTCACTCTCCCCATAATTCACCTTTAAATATTTTAGGATGTCCCTGAAACAATTGAGTTAGAAGGCTCAATCACCCTGAAAATTACAAACCAAAACTTGCCCTGTAAGCTTTTCCACTGGACTAATAGGTTAGTGGGCTTGTTTTACAATAAGTACATGGGTGTCAGCAGTAACAGGAGTCAGCTTTTGTAAGTCAGCTACTTCTGTTCTCAAATTAATTCTGCAATTCCAACTTTTGTAAGAGTTCTAAACACCAACATTATTTTTTCTTGTTCTGAGCAGGGAGTTCTGTCATTGCAATCAAAAGTCTCTTGACCATCATACAAACAATTCCAACAACTGCTCAAAATGACACAGCACAAAATATTCTGTACATTTTAACAGAATGCAAGGGGATAAACAGAGACTGAAACGCAGTATGTTTTTTTAAAATACCTGTGAAAACTGGCATATAAGCCAGCTGGATTATTTAATCTGTTGGGGTCTCTGCTGTAAACATTCTGAGACCATATCTCAGAAAACTACTGGTGCAAAAGTGCAGATATGGGGCACAGAATTTATATATTACTTAACCACACACTACTTGCTGTTATTATTGCGTAGCTGGACCCATCACAGTGCTTGTTTTTTTTAAACTTTATTTAACTTGACATTCAACTCTTTGCATGGCAGCGTATTGTGATGCGTTGTAGCAAAAATGCACAAAAATACTACCTAACCTACTTTTTTTCTTCCATTGTATACCAATGCATACCTTTTATAGTCATATGCAGATTACATGAAGCCGGCTCCTAGTTCTGGGTGAGATTTGTCCAAGCCTATATAAGAGCAACACCAGCTTGTTAGACTGGGTGGCATGAAAGAGTTTTAGGAACCTTGTTGGAACACAACAATGTCTCGAACTTAGGTCCAATAGTAAATCTGAGCTTATAAATACTGAAGGACCATGAGCAGAAAGGAGCCCTGAGCAGAAACACAATACTTACTGTATACCTGATCTGCATTACTTATACCTGATATTTACATTAGTTAAATACAACCTAATATACATAAATCCAATTGTATAGATGGAAAAAATAAAATATTATTCCTGGAGTGACCCTTTTGTTTGTAATGTTATCTTTTAATATATTTAGGTCGCATTGCAAGAACATACAGTGAGAAGTGTGTGAAAATCTTGGCAGGCTTACTGGAGTTCAAGCAAGAACACATTACTTCAGGTATCTTCCTAACTTTGGTATCAATAAAAAAAAAATGAATGTCTATGCTTGACATTAGGGAAACCTGTTTTGTGAGAAATGTGGTAGCTACTATTGCTGACCTTGTATAAATGGTATTCACCTTACTGCTCTGCTGTTCTTCTAGCTTCATTGCTTTCTTAGGCGTTGTCCTGGAACAAGTATGTAGATTAAAAAAGTCAGGGAAAATTCCTCATCTGCATACTTGTTTCAGGTCATTGACCCTAGGTATTGGAGAAAGAGTCCTAGCTTATCTAGAAAAAAATAATATACAGGTGAAACTCGAAAAATTTGAATATCGTGCAAAAGTTAATTTATTTCACTAATGCAACTTAAAAGGTGAAACTAATATATGAGATAGATTTATTACATGCAAAGCAAGATAGTTCAAGCCGTGATTTGTCATAATTGTGATGATTATGGCTTACAGCTCATGAAAACCCAGATCCACAATTTCAGAAAATTTTTGGCAGTGTGGGCAGGTGCCAAGTCTTGCTGGAAAATGAAGTCAGCATCCCCATAGAGCTCGTCTGTGGAAGAAAGCATGAAGTGCTCCAAAATCTTCTGGTAGACGGCTAAGTTGCATTAGTGAAATAAATGAACTTTTGCACGATATTCTAATTTTCTGAGTTTCACCTGTATGTTCATAATCAAAAGAGACTAAACAGTTCGCTCGCAGAGATACAAATTCTAATGTAGTCTATGATAAACCAATAGAAACCACATTATTCCAATACTTTATATTATTAATATGCATTACTTCTTTTCCTTTTCAAATATGTACAGTGCACACAGTACTTAAATATATTACACAGAATTAGACAGATTCAGTGTACATAAAGTGTGCCACACGGCTTTAATTTCAGCCAAGTCCTGCTGACGCGGGCTATATTGGCGCAGTGTGTGGCCCTGTCGGCACCCCTTTTTTTTTAAATCGACTTTCATTGAAAGAGCCAGTTCGAAAATTCTCAGCAGTCACTGCTCTGGTAACAATGGCACACCTGCTGCTTTCAGAATACATTAGCCAGCAGTGGTGGATTCCCTCATTGGGGAATCAAGCGTTTCTTTTGTTCAGCAAAGTAAAAATGATTAGTGTATGGCCAGCTTAATAATTACTGCCCCTACTACATCACACCAGTAACTCCCCACCCATACACTAAGGACAGTTTTTAGATAGCAACCAGTTAACATAACACTATGTTTTTGGAGTTTTTGATTAATGTGGAGAACCGAAAAGTAAAAGATCATGCTGTGTTTATGTAGCTATGTTCTGATTAAAAATTATATATCAAAGACCTTGGCAGTGCTAACTACCCCATTATATTACCTTAATTTGTGTTATAGTAGTGGACTATTTTTTTCAATCCTCTATAATATTCATATAGTGTAGTGTGAATTTACTTTTAGCTATGTGTGCCCAGAATTAGCCTTTATGTATGTGTGCCCAGGATAAAGCTTCATTTTGGAAAAGAGTTTGTCTACAGAAAAAGCTGGTATGTTCTGTGGGGAAATATAATCATCACAACCCTTCCTAATCTTGAAATCGGAAAAATTGTTGACTTTCAGTAAACAGCTGCTGGCTGCCCATGTTTTTTATAGTGTCACTTCAGACATAGCAGCATTTTTAGCATTAAATTAAACAATTTAGAATTTAGATATGCCATAGGCATTTTTACATAGTTACATAGTTAGTCAGGCTGAAAAAAGATAAGTGCATCGAGTTCAACCTATAGAGATACAGAGAAAAAAATTAAATAGAAAAAGAAAAGCAAAAAAAACCCCTATAAAGCATGGTTCAATTTGCTCCAACAGTGGAAAAATATTCCTTCCTGATCCCATAAGGCAAGCGGATATTCCCTGGATCAACAATCTCGGATGCCTAACATACCTATAAGAACTCAATATCCAGTGATATTCTGTGCATTTAGGAAGACATCCAGATGTTTTTTAAAACAATTAGCTGAGCTAGCTAGAACTAGCTCCTGGGGCAGTCTATTCCACATTTCACAGCTCTAACTGTGAAGAATCCTTTCCGTATGCAAAGGTAAAACCTCTTTTCCTCCAGACGCAAAGAGTGCCCCCTTGTCCTTTGCAGTGACCTTAAAGTGAATTATTTGGCACCAAGCTCTTTATTTGGACCATTTATGTATTTATACATAGTGATCATGTCCCCCCTTAATTGCCTCTTCTCCAGAGAGAACAGATTCAGGTCAGCTAATCGTTCCTCATAGCTGAGCTCCTCCATGTCTCTTATGAGTTTAGTTGCCCTTCGCTGCACTTTCTCCAGTTCCACAACATCCTTTTTGTGAACTGGTGCCAAAACGGAACTGTATATTCCAGATGATGTCTTACTAATGCTTTGTACAAGGGCAAGATGATGTCTCTCTCTGGAGTCTATACCCCTTTTAATACAAGAAAGTATATGTATTGTCTTGTCTTTTGAGGTCTCTGCAATTTATGTTATATTGTGAGCATTGCTTTGTTATTTACCAGCTGTTATACAGACATTTCGGGACCTTGTTTGGCTGTGTCCTCAGTGTGTAAGTTCAGTATGCCAAGCCCTCCCCGGCTGCGAAGGAAACATTCAGGATAATGAGGTAATTTCGAACGTGCAATTTTCCATGTTCTGCTTTAACCTAAAAACATGATACTTTAATAGAGAGCTTTAGCAAAAATTCATAGAAACACAACTGTATATGTTTAAATTAGGGATGCACCAATACCGATACTAGTGTACTAGTACTCGCCCAAATGCTCCCTATACCAATACAGGAACTTCTACGAGTCATTACACGCTGCCCGGCTTAATGATTGGCCATGAAGTTGGCTTCCCGGCAAATTAGGAAGCCAGGGGGCGGGTAATGACCAGAAAGCCAGGTCCATGCTTCCTTGTCACCTGGTGACGAGGGTGCATGGAGATGGCTTCCCGGCTAATCAGGAAGCAGGGCAGTGAGTCATTACATGCCCCTGTCTTCATGGCTAATCAGGAAGCAGGGCGGCAAGTCATTACACGCCGCCCAGCTTTCTTAATGGGACTTCTTGTATCGGTATTCAGCATCGGTGAGTACCAAGGGGAAAAAATATCTGTACTCGATACCGAAAAAACGGTATCGGTGCATCCCTAGTCTAAATGCCTATTATGGTTTCATAGTTATTGCAACAGATCATCATCATTTACAATTCAGGCTCCTTTATGTAACTATCCTGTGGGATACCAAGGTGTACCCAAGCCAGCTGGGAACAGTTCCTTTAGTGTGTTCAGGAAACATCCAATGCTGCAGTGCATTATGGGCCTCCAAAAGGACGCACCATCCTCCTCATCTAGCTACAGGATTGCCAAACTTCCCACTCTTTCTACTAACCTTGGCGACCCTGTGGAATCACTGAATTTCCAGCTCTTGTAATTGTGCCTTATTCTTTTAGCCATTTCCTGTATCTGTGGTCATTGTAACATTGCCAGTTGTGATCCAATATGTTTAATGCACATAGCGTACACATATATAGACTTTTTACTTAACCTATTATGTTTTCCATGTTTAGCATAACTTGGTTGGCTTGTGATTTTTAAACATGTGTATTTTATCTGTAGGGCAAGCAAGCCTTAATATGGCTTCTGGGGATGCATGGAGAGTTTATAACCAATGCACCATACATCTTGGAGGAATATGTTGATAATATTAAGACAGAGACCTCGCCAACAGTAAAAATGGAGCTCCTGACATCTCTGGTGCGATTGTTCCTCTGCCGGCCAGCTGAGTGCCAGGACATTTTGGGACGTCTCATCTATTATTGTATAGGTAAGTGCTATTATTTGAAATCCCATGACATGACTGTTAACAGGTCTTTTGGTGCTTTTGCAGGTCTCTGTATGTAACCTTTACAGATCATGATTCGCCTGCGAATTGTTGGTTGGTTTCCCAAGTATGACTCTTGAAGGCAGGAGCTAACCAACCATGGAGCATAAAATACATAGACGCTGTATAAATTTGTGTTCAGTCTCCTACTTTTGATTCTCCTTTTGTGCATGTTCTCATTTATTTTACTGCCCCTCTCCCCCCCATATCACCACTACTGTGCTTTCCATCTCTTTTATTTGTCCTGCTTTTAATAGAAAATCCCATTGGGATTAGAAAAAGTCCTGCATTCAGGAGGCAGTAGGATTGCCTCCTGAACGCTGGGCAGCTGCTGCTCCACCGCCCTCTGAAAAGCGATCCACCGCAGATCGCTTTGTAGAGGGCAGTGGAGACTGCAGCCAATCTGAACAAGACCAAAGAATATAAAGCGCTTCAGAGATTTAAAATGAAAATTTAATTTTCCAGCCAGTGGTTACATATTTGTGTGCAGCCAGGCCATTCGAATAGCCTGGCTGCACAATAGGGATTTAGAACACTACTTATTGTAACATATATGCATCATTATATTTATGGCTGTTTTTTGGGTGCATAAGCTATGATGCTACCAAGCTCAATGGCCTTTGCGGCTTCTCAGAAGAAATTCATATTCTGTGTATGAGCGTAATTGCACTGAGACTATTCAAGCCATTAACGTTGGAGTGAACTCCACACCTTTTTTAGGTTTGAATGGAGTGAAGCAACGTTTAATCCCTATTAACCACCTCCCGTCCATGGCCATTCCGGAACTGCCGGACGGGAGCCTTATAGGAGCGGGAGGGCGTCCTCCCCGCTCATGCGTGGCGCTCAGCACGCACGCGAGTGGGAAACTGTTAGCAATGTATACAGCCAGCGATGGCTGTTTACATTCAAGCGATCGGGCGTCTCTAGAGACGCCCGATCTCCCTTTGATCTCTTCTCGATCCCCGAATGCAGGAAGTGATGTATATTACATTACTTCCTGCTTTCAGATGCCGATGAGAAGCTGCTGAAGCAGATATCTGTTTTCATCAGCTTCTCTGGGGGTCCCTAGGTGACTCCCCAGATGTCTCCATAAAGAGGACCTGTTATGTGAATTGGCTATCACATAGGGGATTTCTTAGTCCCCTATGTGATTGCAATAAAGTTGTGTAAAAAGTTTAAAAAAAAAATGTAAAATAACACAAGAAAATGTTTAAAGTCCCCTGCCCCCACACATACACACGCAAACATGCGTCGAGTGCACCATCGTGATGAGCGGTAAAAGCTTTTTAAGTATCACCTATGGCCAATTTTAGGTATGGTCGTTTTTTGTGATTCCGCAGGTGCGTCATTTTAAAGCTTGACCTGTTTTGTGTCTATTTACCCGATGTGATCCCATCTGTTTATATTTTACAAAACAATTGGGTAAATATAAATGTTTTATAACATAACGTAGAGAAAACAGTTTTTATTTTTTTAATTTTAGGTACTTTTTCATTATTTAATAAAAAAATAAAACCCCAGTGGTGATTAAATACCACCAAAAGAAAGCTCTGTCTCCAAAAAATTGTATAAAAATTAATTTCAGTACAGCATTGGATGGCTAAATTAATGTCAGTCAAAGTACCGCAATGCTAGTGAAAAATGGCCTGGTCAGGAAAGGGGTTTAACACCCTGGTCTTCAAGTGGTTAATCACCAAATGGTTGATTTATGGAAGTAATTCAGGAAGAATTATAGTCCATTACTATCAAAATTTAAACAACCTTGTAGAGCTGATTTACAAAATCTGAACAACACTTAAGTAGTTTTCCAAAGCAACCAAACATTTCTGGCTTCGTTTTATAGAAATCTGAATGGTTGCTAGGAAAAACTCAGGTTTTACTTCCATGCTAGTTACATTTCTACAAGGAAATTATTTGCTGCACACACAGAAAGTGAAGTAGCAGAAGAGAGACCAGTGAGATCTGCTTTCTAGGACACACAGCTTATTCCCCAGTATCCTTACCACCGGTCACATCTCTTACTCCTTACTACATTTACTTCAGTGAGATCTCCTACAGACCTAACAAGTCCTATGTAACTCACCCTAAATAAACCAATCTTATACTGTCTTATGGAGTTGAAAGTTATTTCACTTCCTCTTCTGCTGGAGAATTGCATATCCTGGAAAGAGTACAGAGTCATGTTATTACCTGGCCACAGGAACTTGTACATGCTTTCTCTGTAACGCCAGGATTTGATGTCAATGACTGTTTGGGGAACACGTGTGTAATGTTCTAAATCTACCTTCCCTTCCACTGCATGTTTAATCCACTTTTTCTCCAATGTTTCACTGTATCCTTATCAACTCAAACATACTAACATTCAGGCCTTTATTTATTGTTATATATTTATTTATTTCAGATACTCTTTACTTAACGACCGAGTTCCGTTCCTACGACTAGATTAAGCAAATTGGTCACTAAGTGAGGGATAGAGGAAATCAGCTCTAATATACAGTACATGACTTAGGTTTGCATACCGCAAATACCAATGTACAGTACATTAGTGAAAACTGACTGACCAACTGCAGGAACGAGACAGACTGAGAAAGGGTGATGTGAGATGAGATTGGCCCAAGTTCACATACAGTGTATAATACCAATTAGTCACAGAGCTGGTTGTAAGTCGTTAAACAGGTAGGTTGTTAAGTGAGGAGTAACTGTACTTATATAGAGCTGTCAATTTACACAGTGCTTTACATAGAGCACATTCACATCAGTCCCTCAAGGAGCTTACAATCTAAGGTCCATATCTCGCACGCATACATATGGGGCCAATTTAGACAGGAGGCAATTAACCTACCAGCATGTCTTTGGAGTGTGGGAGGAAACCAGAGTACTTGGAGGAAACCCATGCAAGCACAGGGGGAACATGCAAAAACTCCTTGCAGAAAGTGTCCTGACTGGGATTTGAACCAGGGACCCCAGTACTGCAAGGCAAAAGTGCTAACAACTAAGCCACTGTGCTTTCTACTATATGCAGTGCCTCATGCCTCTCAATTAATGTTCTGCCCCTTTATTCCATGCAGTGTGTCATGCCTGTATTCTACATATAGTTCCTTGTGATGCTCTGTTGCATGCATTGCCTCTTGCTTCTCTACTACATGCAGTGACCAATCCATATGTACTATATATGCACTATATGCAGCACCTCATGTTTCTTTACTAATGCAGTACCTCCTTCTCTTCTACACAGCTTTTTGCTCTCTGCTGCATGCCACACCTCTTACATCTGTAGTACATACCTCATAACTTTATATTCTAGAGCAGGGCTCAAAATTTCCACTTGCCTGCTCGCATTTGGCGAGTAAAAATAAGGTGAGGGCAAGTGGAAATTTGGGTCTCCAAGTACCGGTCCGCAGGGCAACTCCGGCCCGCGAGCCGCTACTATGTGGCTCACAGCCAGCTGACATGTCAGGCACACGGTCGCAGACTGCGTACCCGACTTGTGGGAGCAGCTCCATGGTCTGCATCTGTGTCGGATGCAGAGCCGCTCCTGTCACCTCTGGCTTCCTTCGACCGGAGCTTTGATAGTTCTGCGCTCCGGCCGAAAGAAAGAATGTATGTGAGCAGGATCGATCCCTGGTTATCTGGGGGTGATGGTGAGGTCTGCTGCAGGTGAGGACGAGGCATTGCAAGATTCTCACAGCCACAGGCATGACTCCCATAGAGAGATGCCTCATGGGATTTCTAGTTGCACCACAGCTGGAGGGCTGGAGTTTGGCTACCCCTGCCTTACATCATAACTTTCGTTATGCGATGGTTGTAAGGTCATTAAAATCTCGTACGATCTGCCCATCTTGGACAGGCAGATCGTACTGTCAATCATCGGAAGCCCTCCCCGCTGAGGGGAGGGCTTCCGATGATTGCAGTGCTGAGCAGGCAGTGTGCGCCTGCGCACACCGGCCCGTGCGGCATTAGTCTTCCAACCACGCCACCAACCTGCCAAAATGCGTACGATTTTCGGCAGGTTTTCCAGCGCGCTTGGAAGAATAAAGTCGTACGACCTTACAGTAGAAGCAGTCGCACGCTGCCCATACACCTGCCGATTATTGTACGATAATCGGCAGGTGTATGGACACCTTTAGTGTATGTGTATATTAGGCCCCATTCACACCTGCGGTATATTTCAGGTGTGATTAGAGATTCCTGTGTCAGGAACTTGCGTTTTCCTGCAGCAGCAATCCCTAATCTGCCGTTTACAAGCGGCAACTATCATAAGATAAGAATTATCATAAGATTATTTAAGAGGGTGTGTTTAGGGGCGGAGTTAAGGCCGGGGCAGGGTAAGGGTTAGGTGGGGCAACTGGTGGCTAGTGACTCTTAAGGTCTGGCTAGTAGCTCAGGACTTGAAATTTTGAGCCCTGTTCAAAAGTACCTTATTCAATTGCATGGGCTGCCCTAATGCAGTGTCCGATATCATAGACAAAACTCTTTATTCACACTGCTCTGCTAAAGCATGATATTTTCAGGGATATTGCACTTCTTAGCCAGGTAGAGAATAGTGATAGTCCCAAGGACACTGCTGAGCCAGGTATAGATGAGTGATATTTCCAGGAGGCCTGCTTTAGCAAGCCAGTTATGCAGTAATACGCCCCTAAGCCTGGTCCTAAGCCAGGTTGGGAAAGTGATATTTGCCGAGAAATTTTCTTACTTAAAAAAGAATTGGGATGGTTTTTTCTGGAGACACTGCACTGCTGAGCCATGGACATGATATTTTCAAGAACACTACATTGCTATAACACCCACCTCACCACTTGCCCCCTGGACCCTGTTCCCTCAAAACTACTTCGGTCACCCTCATACTCTATCCTACACTCTCTTACTCACATTTTCAATCTCTCACTTTCTACTGGAATCTTTCCTACCCCTCTTAAACATGCACTAGTCACCCCAATACCCAA